CCAAACCACAATATCACATCATCAAAACACTATTTTACAAGAGGAAAAAAAAAAGATCAGTTAATGCATGCTAAAGGAGAATCTACTTTTCCAGGCCGCACTGTGAATGATTACTCAGTTTATTAAAGTGTCATTAGTTTAGTCAGATTATGTTTAGCTATAAATGTGAGCTGAATAAAGATCATATCAGATTTTATGGAGGAATCAATGCAAAAATCTGAATATTTTGAAAGGGTTCACAAACTAATTCTTGCCACAGTATATACAGTATATATAAAGGTATTTTTGACACTATGGTCCTACATCAGGGTAAACATTGCTTAAGGTGAAGTTGATCGACAGCAATGTATACGACTGCACAATACAACACATTAAATAGGCTAAACTTCTATATTGTCATTCACGTCATATTAAATACTGCATCTACCCTGACTGAGTTCTAAGAACTAGAAATGACATTTTCCTGACTGAAAGCCTACAACCCTGTAAGAGCACTACCTCTCTTAAATGTGCAACAAGCTCAAACCAGCAGTAGAATATTTAAATGTCAAATAAACCAAGGAATTACTGACCATATTCGCTGCACAGTTGAAAAGACAAAGGTAAACAATCAAAACTCTGCTATCAGGAAATAGAAATCTATGCGTGTGGCAGAGTAGGAGGTTATTTAGGTGACTAACCAGCAATTTCTTCCTCTCTATTTAGCAGCACATGGAGCTAGAGTGATGAACAGAGCTAAAGTGATATTGTTTTCCCTCCTTACAAGCAGACTGCTTCAATGACTGCCACAATTTACACAAAAGGGTGCAGAGAAGAGTACACTGGATTTACTGCAATCTTTCTCAAATCACTGTGGATGAACAAATTAGATATAGAGGTAGAATTGATGCTGTGCTCTTGCAACTACAAGGGATTCTGAGTAAGAAGCAAACAAGCTGTGAGAGTTGAGTAACATTAAATTATAACACCTGTTCAACTGTAGTAGTAGTTTATGCACATTTTAAAAAAAAATGCCGTAAATGCAATTTCTTAGATAAAAATAATTTGGGTGAACAATCCTGATAACGCAGACACTCACTGGGATATGACAATTAATTTCACCACCATTTCCTGAAATTCATGTTTGAAAGGAAAATGTAAAGGTGTATTAAGTCACAACAAGTGTATGCAGGTTACCAACCCTAAGAATATTATGGATTTCTTTCCAACGACTAGCCCACTGTTTTGTCAGCTCCTGAACCTGAGAAAGAAAAGAGAGATATTTTGGATTATTTCTATAAAAGAAAATACAGATACAGGAAAAAAATAAAAGGCTTCTACTGGACTGTGAATGTAAAGCTGCAACATTCTTTCATCACAATAGATGGGGCAGAAAACAACATTCTGAGTGTTAGGATAAAAACAGCACTCTAAAATCCCAGTTGCAAGTCATGCATATTTGCATCCAAACCTAAGAGGAAGACTGAAGTGCAGCATAACATAAAATAAAAATAAAATCAATAATGCTGCTGCTTATCTCCCTAAATCAGCATGCGTCATACATAAACAGCCATGAGCGGTGGGGAAATCAAGGATTGGTTGGCTGCTATGCTCGGTTTTACCCAACATTTAATCACTAGAAGATCTGTTCAAGTAGTCTGAGAAATGGAGACACTTACTCTGGCTTCATCCTGATGAAGCCTCTCCTCCACACTCGACCCTAAATGCTGCTCAAATGACACCATCTGTAAGGATTTAAGTCATGTGACCACTGAGAAACAAAACAAAGGCTGTACAAAAGTAGGAACTTCTGTGTATATGCCAGTATTACATTTTAATCCAGCATAGATTGTCTTACAACTTTTCATATCATAAAAAGGCTGTGGTGGTCAATATTATCCCTAAAAGCATGCAGACTTTGTAACAGTATGTAGTCCGGGCCATTTTGACATTATAATTTCAGGGAGGCACTAAAGAGGAACAAGATATTGCTTAAAGGTTGCTATCATAGCGAATTAGTTGTGTGTAAATTAGGTAAAACTGATCTCTTAAAATGACTTAGGATAAAGAAAAATACACACAAAAACAATTTTGCTCATTGATAAATTCAAATGGTTCATACTGAAATCTCTTTGAAAACTTTTGTCAAAATCTGAGAAAAGTTTGAGTCAGCATTCAAAAACTCAAGAAGTGACTAGACCCTACTCTGTCTTATGAGAGATATGAGAAGCTGGAGACTACATCCTGTTGCAGTCTAAGAGAAACAGAGATATCGAAGAGATCTCATTTGCGATTTTTCATTTCTTTAAACTAATCCTGGCGTACCATTTAATACTGATAATATACAAATTGAAATTCAGCCTGTGATGTCTGAGGAGGATGAAGTCGAACTTAGATCACCTGATTTCCTGCAGACAGCAGCGCTCTCAGACGGGCAATCTCAGCTCGCAGCTCTCTGATAATCTTTACATTGCTATCCTCGTTCACAGTGGGCTTGTTTAAAATGTTCTTGGCACGGCTGGCATAACGAAGAGTGTTCAGAGTTTCGCTGTAGTTCACGTCAGCAGGTGAGATGGCTAGAGTGCAAAAAGGATAACAGGAAATTATTCCTTAATACATAATTAAGGCGAGATTAGGTCAAAACTCCTTGCAATGGAATGTTAATTTCAATCTGCCACTTTTTCTAATGGCCTTTTTCGTGGCTTTTTAGAGTTGTTGTATGGAAAAGAGCAGCATGAACGTTTTGCAAAATAAAGTGCGTAACAAAATCTTGAGGGTGTGTGTGTGTCAGGATTTGTCATGTTGTGTGTGTTAATTTATGGCCTGTGGTTTGTCATGTGTCTTTGTTTAGTCTGGTCTGTTGTGAGCACATGGCTGTCATGTTAATCCGTGTGCCATGTGCTCTCCTGTCAATTGTCTGACCCCGCCCATCTTGTTACCTCGTTATTGTTTAATTTCCCCCACCTGCCTGCCTTGTTACCCTCTTATGTTTGTTCCTTATTTAAGGTCCTTGTGTTGGTTACTCAGTGTTGGTTCGTTGTCGTATCATGTCATTCTGTTCTGTGAGCTGTGTTGAGCAAAGTTTGTACTTTGCTTGTATTCTAGTCTTATGTCTGTTTCAAGTTTATTAGTCTAGTCTTGTCAGCGTTCGTTTGCCCCCTCATGGGTTTTTGTTTTATATCTGTCTGTTTAATTAAAGTTATATGTTTATTTATGACTGTCTGCGCTTGGCTTCATTTCTGCATGACCACAGTGATGCGCGTGACCTCTGACATACTGGCTATCATGATGGTTTTGGCGTTCCCACCAAGACTGTCCTTTAGGAGCCAGGTAAGTGCAGAGTCTCGATATGGAACAAAGTTTTGTTTCCTTTTTATTCCACCACCAATGGACAAATCAGCTGTGACAACAGAAATAACAAAGAGCATTCAACCTCATAACCATGTCAGTCAAAGTTCTTGAAACCTTAAACTGTTCCGTATTCTTTGTTTGTTGGTTTACCTAAAGTGGAAATGACGATGCCCAAAGTAACCAGAGATCTATTGATGTTGGCACCTTCCTTCAACCTTATGCCAGTAGCCTGAGTGGCATCAGCTCTTTCACTTCCTGCTAGGTCAACCAGGTGTACCTTACTCACCGTCTCACTTGGTAACTCCGCATCAGACATGGCCTGTAAGAACATATTATGGTAGATGATACATTCAGATATTTCTCAATCTGAAATTCATAATGCGACAGGGAAAAGAAACAAGCTAAAATACTTGATTGAAACACAGGAAAGTAAGATTGTAAATGCTTAATGCTGCATGACATCCTATCCCCTGAAGTTTCTGAAATGATTATGAATTTATTAAAAGAACTGGATTATAGCCAACAGAGCCAACATATAACCAACAGAACCCTGTTCAGTTTTAAATATTTGTCTCATAACATGAAAAAACTAAGAGACACAGAATATTGACAAAATATTGTTTGGAGCACCATACTATCATACTATCCAGAGAGATAAATAAACTAGAAGGAATATCAATCTGTTTAAAAAAAAAACAGAATAAAAACCAAAATGATCTTATTTTCAGATCACTTGGAAGCCACTTAAAACATCAAATACATTTCTTGTGGAATGATGCCTACTGATTCACTTTTTCCAGACTATAAATAACCATCTATTTTTTAATATATGAAATGCTGTCCAAAAGGCAGTAATCCAGTATTCTAAAACATAGCCATTGACACATTAACATCTGTGTGTCATTACCCAGACATCCTCAACATACACAGAAAATGGAGGAAGCTCAGTGGATAATACAAACAGGGAGATGATAACTTCAAGCTGCGAAGGCTATCTTCACAAATGTACAAATAAAGAGGCAGATGGCATTCAGCAGAGGGTAAATGGACTTGTGACCTTGATGAAGCGAATAGTGAAGATAGCGTGGGATCGGCTGCTGACATGGTTCATGCCTGTGCTGGCAGTGGCACGCCTCCTGTTGCCCTTGTGCAATAGCTGGCCAACCTCAGTATAGCTCTGCACATGGTGTCTGGAGAGGGCTGGACATATACAGGACATAAGAGAAACTGTTTTTACTGGATTTCTGATAACGTTGTTTACGCAATCAGTAGAGTAACATTAAAAAGTGTGCAAGTTTTCAATCATTATGATGTGAGGTGTTGTTTGTGTAGTCATTTTACCCTCCACATATGCTCCATCTTTAGGATGTTCTCTTACTCTCAGCTCACAGCCTTCTGTCTCTGTCTGTGCTAGGAAGGAGGTCTCGAACTCGCTCATTGTAGATTTCAAAGTAGCTGGAAGCACAAAGCAGCAAAGACAAGAACAAAGCAGTGATAGTTTGCTCTTGAAACGTTAGCTCCTATTTTAGGATATAATGGGATGACATTTTGCTGCCACAAAAACTTCAACAGTGACTCAGTCTAGATTAGTCTGCTTTTAAATGAGCCACATTCCAGCAATTTTGCTAAATACCACTGGTTTAGTTTATATTTTGGCTTAATAGCTCATTTGCTAGCTTATTAAATTTTCTTTGTTTTGCTTGTGAAGCAATTGCCTGGAAAACTCAAATCAATTACCTGCCGCAGTTTGAATCTCATTGTACATGAATGCAATTATCGAAATTGCTGGCTTGATGGATCGCATCGACTTGACAAGGAATTAGAGGCTCCACATTTTCCCTAAATCTGAATAAGCTCTGTTGTTATATACTGCACATTACAGCAATCGTGTGGGTGAGGAGGAGAAAGTCTCGCCAGTCAGAAAAGGAATAAAATCCCACAAGATAAACCTATTTCGAGCTGTCTGAGAAATGTGAATGTTTAAACAGGCGCCTGAAATGAAAGACAGATTGGTCCCTCTTCATCTCCTAATGAAGCTAGAGGGAGAGAGAGAGAGAGAGAGAGAGAGACAGTATCAGTTTGAGCTCAGTACAAACCAACAGTGAACTAATTAAAATGTGACAGTCAGACATTTTGAATGCCTCTACTGCTAGAACTGTCCCCTGTGAATGAGCACTGTTTAAAGGATGGAATCCAGGTAGTTAAACTACAAAAACCACTTGCAGGCATTTAGACACTACAGTCACATGCAAGAGAAGCCAAGGGTATAGTATAAACCAGTTTTTTTTTTTTTTTTTTTTTTTTCAATTTATAAAGACAGGTCTCACTTAGGGGTGTGACTGGGCTATTGGGTTTCAGTCATTAATATGTTTGTCTTTGTTTTTTTTCTACTGCAGCAATCCTAAATGCAATGACAATCGATTTAACTATAATTTAAGACCTCATTTATAAAAGACATGACTCGGTAGCTTTCTTTATTACACATCCAGATTGAAGTCTGCACGAGCAAAGAGTTCAGAGTTCATGCAAACAGTCAATATTTTGCAAAATGCAACAGAAAATATATTTTACAGTAAATTATATATTTTTTGAACAATATTGTTTCTTGTCAATATTGTTGTTAATCAAGGCCTCTGGGATGCTACATAGCTGAATACATTTCATTGTGGACTTTCTTAGCTCTTTTGTCAAACATACTAACCTACAGCCAATTTAACAGACCACTGCTGTTTAATAGTTTGGGGTCTGTACATTTTGTCTTTTTAAAAATACATTTTTTACAACACGCAATACAACACAAACAATACAATTTTACAATACAACACTTTTATCCATCAAGGAAATTTCTTTTTCAAATAAATGCTGTCCTTTTGAACTTCTTATTCACCAAAAAGTCCTGAAAAGAAGTATCACGTTTTCATCAAAAATACCAAGTAATCAACATTGATAATAAGAAATATTCCTCGAGCACCAAATCAGCATATCATTATGCTGATGGACCATGTGACACTGAAGACTGGTGTAATGGCTGCTGAAAATTTCATTTTAAAATAGAATTAAAATAGAAAAGTGGTTTTGATATAATATATATATATATATATATATATATATATATATATATATAATTTTAGATTGGGGTCCAATTCTCACTATTAATAAACTATTAACAACAACTTTGCCTCAATAAACTTCTAATTACTGATTATTAATATTTAGTAAGGCATTTGTTTAGGTTTTGGGTATAGATTAAGGGTGTAGAATATTGTCATGCAGAATAAGGCATTAATATGCTTAATAAGTTTAATAAATGTTTATATAAGTATAATTTTTATTAAACAGCCAATATTCTAGTTATATCCATGCTAATGAGAAACTAGTTAATAGTGACAATTGGACACTAAACTAATGTGTTACCAATATTGTACTATAATATTTCACAATATTACTGTTTTTACTGTTTGTACATTTAAATTAACCTTACCGACCCTGAATTTTTTAACAGTAGTGAATAAACATGTTCAGGGTGTAATTGAGCTGAGATAGCCGGTATATCTATGCCGTTTAAAATAAAATGTAATAGGTCTAGTGACTTTGAGGAAATTTTACCACCAGTTTATCGACGTGTGACAACAAGGTGATGCAACATCGGTTACATCACTTGCCCACAGCAAACCTAGTCTAGTCACACACCTGGGGCCTCATGTATAAAACTTTGCGTAGATTTCATCCTTAAAGTGTGCGTACGCACATAAGGCAGAATTTGCGTACACACAAAAGTTTTCAGATTTATAAAACCGTTCGTACGCCAGAACCTGCGCAGAATTCACTTCATAAATCCCAGTCAGCGGGAGATTATGCGCACGTGCGTCTCCTCCCCGAAATAACCATATATGGAGATTACAACGCCTAGTTTTACTATGCATATCCTCATCTGCATATCATTTGCATATGATTATTCATCCATGTGATACCAAGTTTAACGGTAGGCCTACAAGACGTTAGGAAAATATGAAATGCGGATGTGCCGTCACATTATTACAAACATTTTTTTTAGTAGCCTATATCCTTGCCATGTTTTTGAATGAATAAATCAAATAGTGTTAAATACATTTCAGAGAAAGTTTTTCTCAGTCTTTTCCACTGGCCAAATAGTATTTTTAATTGATTTATATTTTAATGGATAATGGAAGAGATTTTAATGGAAGAGATAGACATGGTTGTGCATTATTTGCACGAAACAGTTTTCTCAGACAATCTCTAGTTAAAACATCAAAACACAGCAATGCCAGAAGAAAAGTGTTCAAAAGCAATGCATCCACAACAAATAGGTCTATTTCTATTTATTGAATATATATATATATATATATATATATATATATATATATATATATATATATATATATATATATATATATATATTGTAACTTCTCAGTCATGATTTCATGTAGTTTAAGAGTTTAACTCCATTAATGAGAATGGCATATTTAATCTAAATGTTTATATCAAAAGTAAAACATAGTTTAAACCATTCTCTTATTTATTTAAACTGTTATTGTGAATATGGACTGTATTTATGATTTGGACTCATAATGAAGATTTACGGTTTTACTCCATCTGCCGTTAGATTATAGGCTATATGCGTCAGTTTCACCAAACGGCCCAACGCGCGTGCAGGCGCGGTCATTTAAGAAGGGATGGATGTTTGCTTCAAGTGATGATAGGTTTGTGAAATTAATTTGTATTATCTTTCTGTAGATGTATAATTTTCTTTAGACTCTCTGTCTAATAGTAAGCAAAAAGACATTTGACTCCAGCTCACCATCGGTGTCGCCAAAACCCATACTCTTCTAAAAGAGTGCGTACGCACGGTCAAGAGCATCCTTACGGTGCGCGCTTATTTACGCCAAGTTTATTTTTTATAAATCCCGATGTGCGCATGGAAAAATGCGTACGCATATTTCTATGCCCATTTTGTGCGTACGCAACGTTTATACATGAGGCCCCTGGTCTCACTTTCTGTCTCTCTCATCTCTCTCATCTAATCTACCACATGGGCTGTTATCAAGAAGCTACTATGATAACTGCTTGAGGCGGAAGCAGACGAAAGCTGAACACTGACCTTCCTGATCATCTGGTCGTAATTAGACTCCTTCTATCTTACAATGCCCATAAGAAAGGACAAGCTGCCAGAATGGACACGTTGTAATATGTCTGTCCTTCTCCATGGGATTTAGATGGGTTCATTATCCTACAATAAACCACCATGGAGCAAATGATGGCCGTGGACAATTGTGGTCATGGATGTAGCTCTCGACACGTCGCAATTACTTATGTTACTCACTTATTTGGAACTTTTCCAGCAGCAATGGTTATGCCATTACCAAGAAATATTGCGCTCATACCTGACCTCCATGTGAAACGATGCCTTATCTCTTTGCAACACTCCACTGATGTGGTGGAACAGCCCCTCACAGATCCGTGGAATCAGTCCATAATCACCCTGAAAGAAGGAAGAATCTGTTAAATGTAGTCAGGTGGTTGAGGAACTAAAAAATATTTTGAAGAATGTTTCAACAGCTTTTGTCCATTACATACAGCATGAGACATATACAAAGGTCATTAAAATGTCAATAAACCAAATAAGCTGCAAACACAGTGCTAAGCTTGACCAAGTGCAGAAGTATTGTTAGAACGTACATTAGACATTTAGTACAATTTAAGAAGGACAAGCAATGACGTGACATTGTGCAATAAAATACTGTAGTAAAAAGTAAAAAAAAGCATAAAAAAGAGTAAAAAGCATTATGTGAAAGGGAAGCATGTGATTTATGTGGCATTAATGTAACTTATTATCTACAATTTTGTACATTAAGCTAGAATAGGTGAAATAATTCCCACGTCATCATCTTTAAAAGATAAAAAAGAAAATCTAAAATTATAGCATAACACAAATTTTAAGACAAAGAATTGATGCTTTTGCCCTTCAGACGTCCACACACTCTCGGCTATTTCTATATCTGCACTTTTCACTAGCACTCTGAATAAATAAGAACTCCACAAAGTCTCCACACTATTTTCCCCTCTGATCTGCAAAGCCGGCTTTTAATTACTACCCACGACAAAGAGGGTATATGAGACAGAATAAAATAATTATCGTCAGTACAAATCTGAATGAGCCTCTCGAATGACAGACCGATACCCGTTATTATTATGTGTTCTTCATATGCTGCCCTTTTCACATTTTCGGATTACTCATGAAAAGCATGCCGTGAAATAGAGGCTCTGCTGCAGTCACTGGAGTAGTGTGTGCATCTGCCATCTTCTGAAGAGTGAGAGTGTGTTATTAGCTGTGATTTGTAGGCTTTGAAATTACACTTGAGAGAGAGACAGTGATGAGATGTGAAGCTTACAGCGTTGCCCATCATGGTGTAGGACTTTCCTGAGCCTGTCTGGCCGTAAGCAAAAACGCATTGTAGCCCTCAAAAGCAGCTTGCAGGACATCGGTACCAAGATCTTTGAATATCTGAAATGACAAATGAGCTAGAGTTACTATTTTTTGCACGTATTCTTGGATGGAATCTCTATCTGCTGTAAAAAAAAATATTATAATAATCATAATGTTGGAGTTCACTGACGAGATCTTACTGGTTTCACCCATGGTTACAGCTCAGCTAGTATATGGACAATGGCAGATCAGATATTATCAAAAACATTATCAAAGTTAGGCATTCATATTGTTCATGCCTCCACTTGAAATTAATGACAATGAAAAACAGACCTTGACATCTACAGTAAGACTCGTAAGAACAGGAAGCATGTTCTATGGGCACTGGAACACTTCTATCATTATTACTACTGGTCACATGACAATTGCAGTGGAGTTTGTACCTTTTCCTGGGTCACAAAGTTTGGACTTGTGCTGTTCATTGAATCATAAGAGAAATCGTATGAGAAAGACTTTTCTCTCTCTCCAAACGGTTCTCCAGTCTCCTACAAAGCATAAAAC